GCAAATATATACTAATTTTTTAAAAAGTAAAAAAATATGAGTGAATCTAGAAATATATTACACTTCATCACAGTTCCATTTAAAGATGTTCTTTTATTTCACAGTGATGAAAAAGAATTTTAAGATATGGTAAATTAATATTTTATTTTCTTCTCTTGTTGCTCTTTAATGTTTAAGAAATGTATGTTAGATGGAGCAGAATTATCAGTGCTTTATTACAATATATATAGATATATTTGTAATTGAATTTTAGACACAATTGAGCTGATTTTGCCAACAAAGATACCTACACGGAAGAATGCCCCCCAGTAAGATTTTGATGGCTCACAGATGTGCTGCAATGCTGATTCACTGGGGCCTCCTGTGGTTGTGTTCATTTACATTAGTAGGGTCTACAAATATTTCTTCTTTGTATGCCAAGAAATTAAAACAGTTAGGAAATACTTCTTTGTGTCATAAGGGTAACTCATTATATTGACTCTAAATATCTTCTTTTGAATAATAAAATATTCTTTAAAAAAAAAAACCATGCTTGTGATTTAGGCAACAGGTTACAAACTTTCCCAGGAACAGCTCCTATCCACTACTGCTCCATATAAGGGGTGAATGGTGCAGCTCCCTTACCCCATAGAAGGTAAATCTGAAAGGTCATCCAGGTCTAAAGCATACTGAGGAAATTGTTAAATTTTCTGTACCAACTACAGTGGACCCTTGACTTACAAACTCAATCAGTTCCTGAGGGATGGTTGTAACTAAGTCAATACAGCTGAAATCTGGATGTTTACCTGGGTACACAATATATGTAACAAGAGACAGATGAATCTTCCATTAACCTAATTAACCCAAGTTATCTGAATGCCAGGCTGGTTCTAACTTGAGGGTCCACTGTATACTGCATTTTAATTTCTCTTTCTATCTAATCCTGTGTCCCTTTTGTAGATTTTGTTCCCGAGTGCCCACCTGAGTAGTTTCATTTACTGCTTTATTCTATAACTTTACACCTGGCCTGGAACATGGTAGGTGCTTAAAATCAACCAATCAGACCATATTTTATCTATTTGTTCACATTTTAAAATTCTCCAAACATAATAAGCTCCTTCAATGAAGGACTAATTATTTCTAAATTGTACTACATAGAAGGTAGGACATCGTACATGTTCCACAAGTGTTTGTTCAATGAGTTAATGAATGAATGAATGAATGAAATTAACATTATGCCAAACTCTTAAGACAGGTTTTCTTTTTCTTCATAATCCCTTTTGGACATATTTATGGTAGAAAATATTTTATTTTAGTCATCTAGAATTAACAGGCACGGAAATCACTGAGTTAAAATCAGAAATTAAATGTTCACAGTTCATTTCTGTGATTATACTCAGTGCTCCTAAGTGCATCATGAATACCAACCTGAAACAATGTCCTGACTGAACCCACCTCTGTAGTCTTCGCTGAAGCTGGGAACACTATTCGTTTGAGCATTCTGTATACAAACGTCGTCAAACAAATTTTTCCAAGTTTGGTTGCAGTCTATATTGGCAGGATCATAGCACTGGCAGTTCCACAAAACCAATTCTTTCAAGCTTTCTCTTAGTGCTGCACAGAGCTGTCTTCCACCAAGGGTCTTGCATTCTTCTGCCTTTCTGTCACAGGTTTTCTTAAAATTGTTGTGTAACAGAGCACAGTATTTAGGCTCCTGGAAGACTCATGCTGCTGTGGCACAGTCGCTCTGTTCCTCAACCATGAGTGAAGCCTCTTTCTCACGGGATCATTGTGTGATATTCGGCTGTGAAGGCAAACCTGAGTACAGTGCCGATTCTTATACACATAAAGTCAGAGAATAACATTAATTTCATTCATGATTCAGATTTATTTTACTTAAGATTATTGTCTCAAGATGCATCCATTTTCCTACAAATGACTCAAATCTATCCTTTTTTATGGCAGAGTAGTACTCCATAGCATATAAATACTACATTTTCTTTGTCCATTCATCTGTTGATGGGCATATGGGCTGTTTCCAAGATTTAGCTATTATAAATTGCACTGCTATATACATGAGTATACATGTATCACTGTGGTGTGATGCTTCTCTTTCCAGAAAATACCTACAAGGGGAACAGCTGGGTCAAATGGAGCCTCTAATTTTAGGGTTTTTTTTTTTCTTTTGTACTGAGAATTGAACTCAGGACCTTGTGTTTGCAAGACAGGCAGTGGAACCACTGAGAGAAATCCCTGGCCCTAGTTTTAGTTTTTTGAGGAACCTCCACACTGATTTCCACAGCAGTTGCACCAGTCTACACTCCCACCAATAGTGGAGAAGGGTTCCTTTTCCCCCACATCCTTGTCAGCATTTGTTATTGGTTGATTTCTTGATGATATCCATTCTTTCTGGAGTGAGATGGAATCTCAGTGTTGTTTTAATTTGCATCTCTTGAATGACCAGTAATGTTGACTATTTTTTTCATATATTTATTTGCTGTTTGTATTTCTTCATCTGAGAAAGTCTATTCATTTCAGATGCCTATTTTTGGATTGGTTTTTTAAATTTGGGGGGTCTGATATTTTGAGTTCTTAATAGCTTTTTTAGATAATGTTTCCTTAATTTTTAATTCCACAGATACGTTTTCTCTAGAGATCATATATGTGTATGCCTCCCTGGTACTAGGATTGGACCCAGGAAAGTACTTTGGCACTGAGCCACATCTGCACCATTTTTTCTTCTGAAGCAGGGTGTAGTGAAGTTTTTCAGGAATAAATAATATTATAAAAAGTAGCTGTTGAGAATGAAAGTGTCTTCTTATCTTGAAACAAAATTAGTACATATTTTAACTAACATTTCAGCATGGTTACATTTTAGTAAACTACAATGTAAAACTAGTAAATTAATGCTGTTTTCAGGTCCTAAAAAATTTGACTGCTCTGCATTTATAATTATTTTCTCTGTGTCTTTGCTTTCACTGGCTTCAAAAATTATACAATTACAGTTTCTTTTCCTATCATTACAAACTTTTTGATTTCTTTAACTAGATTATGAAATTGTTCTTAATATACTTT